GCATTCCAGCTTCTCAAATAGAGAGATGTGCTGCCTCTAACATATATTAAAGTTCATGGAAATCATTTGGGGTTAGGATGTTTTATCAAACAATACATAATATTTGAGGACATCACCTTGGGCTCTGGAAGGTTGAGATTCTATTTTTCCCCTTTTATCTGAATAGTCTGATGATAAAACTAGATATGGTTACACTTTGTGAGACATATGTCATCTTTGTATATAACTTACAGAAGAAACCCTTTGGTTCATCGGGCTAATATACGTGATATAAAAAAACGGTAATTTGGGGAAAAAAAGTTAGTTCTAGCCCTATTGCATCTAAATCAATGTCAATTATGTTTTGTCATTTATTTTTATTTATTTAATCGTTTATTTGGCAGGGACAATGCACAGCAATGAACACTTAAAACATTTAAATGTATCAAGCGTAACAGTGCCAGATTTAGCTTTAAGCTATTTTCCATCCGTCATAAAGTTGATGGATGTGTTAAGGCACAATCATACAAGAACACATCTCTGTGTTTACTTAAGTTTGATACAGTTTGGCGGCTAAAACCTTTAGACTAACAACTTTATACAATGTGATGAAGTTGGTTTTGTGCATTTGAAATAATCCACTTGGATTACAGGTGGTGATATCAGGGACCCACACCTGGAAGGTAACCCAAAACTTTACTAAGGTTTTGTTAAAAATAGATGGACGAGCAATATTCTGAATGAGTTCCCACACAGCCCTGACTGCGTGGTTTTAAACAACCACATTTCTATGCACCTGCCACCTGTGGATGCTGTGTGACTGACTCACCCGCAAGTTTGAAGGCACGAAGCTGTACTCAGCTGCGGCACAGAGAGTATCAGCAGTGACGTTTTCACACTCTGAGAGTTTGGAGGCGATGAGGATGCAGCCTGCAGCCAGGCAGTATGGCGAGACAGGCAGAGACAAAGAGGCTGACAGGAACCTGTCCATCAGAGAGACAGACAGAGGGAACACCGCCTCATCACAGCCAACCTCACAGCACACCTGTGGAGAAGAAAAAAAGAAGGCATCAGTATCAAAGTTACTATGATCACATAACTCATGGGAGGAGGAGAAACTGGAGCTTCAGAGAGTTTCATACCTCCAGGGCCCATTTGACGAGCTCCTCCCTACGCTCTGGCTCCCGCTGGATGAGGGTGATGTAAAGTATGGAGGGCATGTACCTCTCCTCCACCTGAAGCAACCTCTGGATCACACGATGCCCGGACACAGTGGGGTCCCAGCCGGCTCGCAGCTGAGAGGAGCCCACCATGTATCCGCCCTGGGCTTCAGTCTGGCTGTGGTCCTGACTCTTGTCGTTCTCCACCTCCTCACACCACAGAGACATGCCTCTGTCCATCCTTACAGACTGCTGGGTCAAATACGAACTTGTTTACTCCAATTGGTAAAGGAAGGAAGCGGGAATATTGTCCCTCTGTCACCCGAGGAAGCTTGGTTTACTACAGGTGAACAAGCAGGGAAATCCTTTTTCCTTGTTAAAGATGTGTTGCCTTCCTGTGGTGCTGCGATGAATATCCCTCCCCAACCAGCGCCTCTGACTTTTATACCCATCGGGGAGAGAGTGAGAGGGAGTGGCACATGGGGGAGGAAGAAGAGCGTGGAAAGGAGCGTGAGCCCTCGTGAGTGACATAAAAAAATTAGAAGACAACAATATGTCTGTGCAACAATTGCTTCAACAGGTGGGGAAAGGGAGAAAGAATGAGAGCAGGGGAGGGAGGGAGGCAGGGGGGGAGGGAAGAGGAGCAGACAAGTGAGGGAGTGGCCCGCAGGGACAGAGTAACAGCTTGTCTTCGATACTGAAAGAAAGAAGGAGGATAAGAAGAGGCTACAAGCGGTGAGAGTCAGAGAGGGGAGAGAAAAGGTCATATCCAGACTCTGACAATGGGAATGGATGACAAAAGGAGGAGGGTGTTTGTTTACAACGTGAGCACCAGAGGAGATGTGTCAAAGTCTGGATGGATGCTCGATCCTGCTGATTACTGAAATAGTTAGGCTGAAATATTGATTAATTGAATAGATCATTCAATCAACGTTTCATTTTTCTGTCATACATGAGATTAGATTGACCATCTTTGGGGTTAAGACTCTTTTTTTTCAGCCAATTTCTTACCATAGTAGGATAGTCATAAATAAAGTGATACACTTTATAGGTCTTTGCATTATTGAACCAGGGTTAAAGAAATTCAGAAATGCAATGAGGGGAATTCAGAGGGAAGTTTGACAGTTGAAACAAGTTGGAATAAAACAAGATAAAAACAGATAAAACAAATAAGGCATGTTGGAAATCAAATGTGCTAGCATTGATAAAACAAACTTCTCTTTTCTCTAGATATGTTTTTAAAAAGTGATATCAAATTATGTTATCCTCAGTGAAAGTAAGGTTTTTAGAATATAATTGTGTTAATTAAAGTTTTGGCTTCGTCTCTTCTCCCCTCCGAGGTTTCCCATTGTCAAAGCAACCTGTGGCCCGCTGCCCCCCCACTCCCCACCCGCCCCACCCCTCGCCTGGGGCAATCTGCTGCTCGTGTTTAAAGCGCAGCGCAGCCACTGGGGAGGGCTGGGCGAGGTATGTGCAACAGACAGTGGAGCAGGGCAGGTCAATGAGCCGTATTGTCTCCCTTTACAAATCAGTGTCAGACAGCAGCCCCTGGCCTTCTGCCTGCTGCTGGCTCCTCTCTCTCTCACACACACACACTTTACACATTCATGGGGTAGACACACTTTTCACACACTCTCCGGGGACTTCCTCTGACGGTCACAATGGGGTCGCACTCACCAGTGGAGAATACAGATTGTATTTGACAGTCATTACAGGTGGCTGTTCACACATTAAGGCTTCAATGGCAGCTCATGTTTCAATAGGAGTTAAATGGACGACCACACTGACACCATGACTTGATTTCAGCTGAGCATCAATAATTCATTCTATTCAAAGTAAAGCTGGCGAGTAGATTCAGGTTTCATACGCAGGGTAAAATTGTTTTTGAACTTATTTGTGACAAAATAAATGCACTTCATAAGATACGTTATTGAGCGTAACATCGAAAAAAAGTATTATATAGTTAATAAAATAGTATTATCAATGTAGTTACATTACTTTGATGTAACTAAAATGACTTTGATTTAACTACAATTATATTTGTTCAAAGAAGTGAAGAGGAGGTTATCAGATTTCAATTATAAGGAAAAACATATGAAAAATAAAAATATGAGTTATCAAAAGTCAACGTTTTCATGATGCTGAACAAAAATGTCCCCATTGCAAGTGCTATGTTAATTGATTATTTCATTATTGAATTGTTGAATTATCATGCATACCTCTGCACACATTTTACTGCTGTAAATGGTGAAGCTGATTTGAACTATTAACATTATCAGTCATCGGGTATTTTTCATCTACAGTATAACTGCCCATTTTATTTTAGGTTTTAAAAAGTGCAGTATATCCCTCTGAATTGCTATAAGGACACAGGGCCAGATGGAAATACGGAAGCATTTTAAAATAAGTATTTAAGCTCATGTACAGATATTAATATATCAATAACAATATATCAGTGACAGACATTTTCAAAAAATCCAACCTAAAGAAAAATCTTTAAATAAAAGTAATATTATATATACTGTATATTGTTTTGTGAATGTGATCCAGCCTCTCTGTAATGCACACTGACCATCAGAACAGCAGGCAGAGGACACTGCCAGATGGGTAAACCTTCTAATGCATAGCTGGGATTCCTGCTCTTAAATAAAACCAATTAGGGTGCAATATGTCTGAAACAAAAACTCCAGTAGCCCATAGGCCTATTCAAACAACCACCTGTCAACATTATGAATTGAAGTCTTCTAACTGTGATTTGAAGTATTTGTGCAGATACAAACTTTTTGTCCCCAAAAATTGAATAGGTAGCTTAATTAAGTTTTTACGGTCCCAAAGTGGAATTTTGCATTTGGCTTGCAGCATGGCAACAATGGATTTATGAGGATCAATAGAAAGATTTGCAGATTAAAACAACAACGCATAACAAAACCTGTAAAATCTCACACAAAAAAATACCTCAAGAGAATATAATGACATCTTGAGTTTTTTTCAAAACAAACCAAAGGCTCAAATCTAGCTTAGAGGGCAGAGCTTCAGCCACATCATCTACTGAAGAAAGCAGCTCTTAACACCCAGCATAATGACAACATGAAGAGACCCTAATCCTCCAACACTCAGTCGATTGAAGCATTAGAGAGAGAATATGGGGTTTAAAGCTGTTGACAAGGCCTGCGCCTATAAAACAGGCTTTGAGAGGGGCTGAAAGCAGATTGAGTTTGAATGAGGGGCTGAGTAAGTTTGGCTCTGCCAGTCAAGTGAGGTCAGGTTGGGGTGGAGGGGAGGGAGGAGGGGGGCCGGGAGGAACAGGGTGACAGATCGCCAGCCTGTTTAAGCACCCTGTTAAATTCATACATTGCAGCTGTATTCAAACAACACGCTCAGAGGGGGAAAGAGACAGTGATGAGCCAAAAGAGGTCCTGAGAAGGGGTGTGGTTCCACGCCCCTCATTTTCCAGCTCATTTCCCGGGACAGTGGAGAGCAGAGCTCTTTTTCCCTCACACAGACAACCTGCTGCCGCGGGGGGGTGGGGGGGGGGGGGGCGAGTTTAGACCAGTTCACAAGTTAAGACACCACATAAACAAACAGTTGGTAATGGGGGTAATTACATTTCATGATTCTATTTTTATTTGTATAACACATTGTTCTAACCTCAGTTCAATCTAGTTATCACTTAGTATAAGAACATTTTAAGTATTGAAATAAGGTTCAATTTGATTAATTATTATAAATGATCTTATGTACACATTTTATATTATGTGTTATATTTTATCTGTTTATATACCAGTAATGTAAGCTTTGGAAGAGGACTTTAAGTAGTTCACAAGTTAATGGTGCTTGTCATTACATTTAATGGTCATTTTCTTGTGTCTTTTTGGTTTTGTCTCATTTAAAAAAAGTTTTCTTATCACATTTTGTTGTTTTGTGTTTAGGAGTGTCCTGTATTTTTTTTACATTGAGTGTTACTCAGATTTTTCACTTTGTTTAAAATGTTCTTTTTTGAATGCTTCTTTCTTTTGAGTATTATGCGGTTGTGTATTGTGCCTTAGAGGTTATTCTGTGATTATCTTGGTGATTATTATGTATTTGTTTAAGGGCCCAGTTAACAAGCAAACTTGATTTGACTTATATTCCGTTTAGTTTTTACCTGTTCAGATTGAGAGGTGTTGATTCAACTTGATTTTAACCTAATGGGAGAGGCTGTACTACTTAGTTGTTTCCATTTACATCAATGATGGGGACTGTTGAGTTAAAATGCAGTACTGTTGTTTTCGACCAACTGTGTGATGTCAAAAGCAAAAATATCAATGACATGCTTCATTAAGATTCAACCATTTATTTGGAAATAATCAGCGGATGAAAATGTTATTTCATGACAATATGTATATAATTACAAGGCTAAAAAGATCACCACGCCACATGCGCAAACTATAAGGCATGCAATAAAGTTTGCATAGGGCTGGAATGGCATCATACGGTCCTAAGAAGATGCTGCCAGTGAGCAAATCCTTCATCTTGCTCCCTTTAAGGAGCAGTGGCGAGGGGACGCAGGACAAAGTGCACTGAAAGCATCACATGGGTCGAGCAGAGATGATTATTAAATCATTGTCAGAAAGGTAAAAGAGAATCACTCAGAGAGGGATGGGGAGTAGAAAGGAGGACAAAACTCTCAACAAAGACACAGGACATTTAAACAAATGACACGCTGTCATGGAGGACGAGGAGCAGACCATAAACATGGAAAAAGAGCACTGCAAGTACAGCTATGTTTTAACTAAAGAAAAAAAGCTTCAACAGCGCCCCCTGCCTCTGAAAGACAGTAACAACAGTCTTCACCAAAGAGCCTTCATTCCTTCTCATTGGATAGAGTTTTCATATATCTATACATCATTTTTTTGTTCATATATAAAGATCGTCCGTACATTTCTTAGTGACTGTAAGTCCCCCAGCTGACCTGCAGATTTAAGGATAGGTGGGAACGGGTGCTGAATCACAGGAAGCAGCGCCTGCCTGGGACTCTGCGAGGAGGCGCAGGGTCTCGCTGGCCTGGGAGTCTGGGCTGTCCTCCTCAGAGCTGGAGGGGACGTACAGACCCATGACCTGCTGCACCTTCAGGGGGAGCTCCTGATCAGCAACACCTTCTATTCCGACAGAGACCTGTTCCTCAGGGAGCTGGTCTCTCAGGAGGAGGAGGTGGAGGAGGAGGAGGAGGAGGAGGAGGAGGAGGAAAGGAGGTTAGGATCACTTGTGTAGAGGTGACTGATCTTATATAAAAGGTTCTAGATTTCGATGCAGCTGTTTGTTAGGTAGGTGCAGATCCTATACTCAATCACTGTTTAGGACAAATGGAAAAAAAGCATAATCTGATGCAATCTATTAACCTGACCTGTTAGACAACATCAGTCACTATAGGCTATATAGAGGGTTGAGTCAGTTCCAATATGTTACACTGGAGGTATAATTCCTTGGTTATTCTTAATTCTCAAATGTAAACTTGTGCACAGTTTCCCTTTAGATTTT